TGATTAATATTGTATTCTAACCTACGAAATCTCTTCTGGTAAAATGTTGGATTTAATTTGCCAATATAACTGAAAATTTTTTAAAAATTTTCCAATTTTTTTTTCTTCTACAATATTTTTATATAAAATATTTCTTAAAGCTCTTTATTTATGTAATATAAGTGCAATTCATTTGCTTTACTAAGAATAGCTTCAGTAGCTTTGAAAAGAAATCCTTAAATTTTGTGTCTAAAATTTGTAAGATGAAATTGGTATTTTGAGTGAAATGTAGCAGTTGGAAAATCATACATCATATAAATTCATGAGAAATATTGAACGGCAAAATCGACTTACAAGCACCCTACTTTTCCTAAATCAATTTAAAAAGAAAAATTGAAGCTGTTAGCGCATTTTTATTATTTTTATATCTGTTTTAACACATAAGTGCATTTTTATTCGAATTAAATCTAGACATTGGAAAGATTCTCATTTCAATGTGAGTTTATATACTTGTAGTTATTTTTAAATAATTTATTTAATTGTCGTGATATGACTACTAATAACTATTAAGTCTATATTTTCAGAATATCTTTGTTTAGATTTAATTACAGTTTTTATTGCGAAAAATATCATGTTATTTTTATTAGGGTTGCCCATAGTTACTAAAAACTAAATTAGAGCTATTTGCTTTTAGCCCTATTTTTCAATCGCCATAGTCCTAAACTACTGAAAGCTCTAATAACTGGCTCTGGTTTAATTTTATTAAGTTTTAGAAGGTTGAAGTCTTAAAATTTAAATAGGTAACTAGTCGCAGCGGAATATATACATAGTGTGTACTCTGCTGTTCTTTGATCATGATAGTTGAGTCTATTGAAATCATTATATTTTTAACTTACTTACTTTTAGATTTTTAATCTACCTAATACAAAAAGATAAATAGTCGCCTTCTTAACTGATTTATTTTTAGATATTTAAGCTTACCTTGCTTTAGTTTCTTGCAAATTTTTATATATTTTCTTCTGAGAATTAAGGTACTACTCTTCACACCTTAATTCGTTCAGCGTTGATTCACTTTACCTAAACATTTATTCATTCTTATATTATATTTATTATAATATATGTAGATGGTTTGCTATTAGGCTTTTCAGAAGTCAACAGCGTCGGGACTTTGGCATATCAACAGTTGATGATGTGGCTGAAAGTCGTGCCATTGCTCACAAACAGCGTTTGAAAATATATATCATCGTTATAGCATCCAGTCTTCTTCAGGCGTTTGTACTACCTAAACGGCTAAAAAGGACAGACCTAATAGACAACGAGTACTAAAAAAGGTTTATTTTTACCTTAAATATTCCAATCAAATTGCTTATTAGTACCTCTTATTTGTTAATTGTACTAGAAGCAATATTAAAACTATTTCTCTCTATATTTCAAGAACTGTTAAAAAAACATAAAAAGGAAGTCAGTAAGACTGGCTTTATCCTCAAAATCAGCTAGCTAATGGTTGATTATAATTACGTATGCGAGATTTAAAATCTCGGGCTTTAGATAAAAGGTTCTAGACCCGGACACAGCGGGTGTTTAGGTGATGTTTTGTTAGTTTGGTGTAAATTTTTGTATATTTCTACTCATAAAGAAAAGGCTACAGTTTCCGTTGTCGATCAGTGTTATTTAACTTTCCCGTTTACCGTACTCACCTTTGGGGTACTTGGAACTCAGTAAGACTACTTTTAGGTTGATTAGCCTTGCCATTTATTGTACTCCACATTAGATTTTTAAGAACTTAGTAGAACTGCTTTTAAGTTTAAGCTAAAAATAGCTTTCAAAGTCTTTGCCAATCTAGTAGACTAGTTGAGACTAGTTCACAGGGACTATAAAGAAATTTTTCTTTCACATTCGAGCTAATCAGTCTGACCTCTAATTGCCTATATGCTCTTCATAAGAATTAAAGACACGCACTTCTATTACTATTAACACTATAAATAGAGTTTCGGATTGTGTAATTACACAATATATTAAACTACCAACTTTTCAAAGCTGTACAGCTACACAAAAAAAAATCATGCATAAATCAACATAAATTGAAGGAAATGTAGTCGTTTTTCACACTAAACATGAAAAGTTGTTGGTGGCTTTTGGTTGTGGAACCAATCGAAATCATTGAAAAATTTATGGAAATCGAAAAATAACTTCGAAAATAACGTCAACCGAACGTTTTGTTGTTGTTTTCCATTCTGTGTGTAATGTTTATTTTCTTATTTTATTTTTATTTTTTCAATTGGATTTCATCTCGTTTTACCTTCAATTTTTTTTTGATTATTTTTCATTTGGATAATGTTTCGCTTTCACATTTTTGCTATCAAAATTTTATTTGTGAGTTTTTTTATTTGTAATATTTTCCTTTTTTTTTTGTTTTTTTGTAATCCTTATTTTCTGTTTTGCCAGGATTTAAATGTTGTAATAAAAATAGGAAGCAACAGACTTAAATAAAAAATTGAAAATGTAAAATATATTGCAATCAGGAAAGTAGCGAGGAAAAGTGGAAATCGAAAGCTTCGGGGCATTTTTATAGATGGAATAACGTTAATAAAAATAAACTGAAAAAATAGTGAAATCATAAGATGAAAGGTGAAAACCTGTAAAATGTATGCGAATGGCGTTACCCGAAAGTGATTTTTGTTCTGGAAACTTTTTGTATTTAAAGATATTTGCCCATTTTTCAACTACTTCCAGGCAAACATTGATAAACGATGGCAAATAAATTTTATAAAAAGTGCTTAAAGTGCAGAAATATACTCGTATGCGGGTTATTTATTTTAGAAATAATAAGTTCATCGACTTGAAAATATTTTTTAGTTTCGAGAAAAATTCAAAACACAAACAATTGTTTTTATAATACTATATATATATATTGTTTAAAAAAAAAATTAAATGGAAATAAAAAAAAAAATTAAACTCAAACTGAAGAAATTTATTTGTATGGAAAAGAGTGAAAAGTGTTATTTTTGATGGAGAAGTCATAACATAACATAATATAACATAACATAACATTTTTTAAAGCCACCTGTAAAGTAATATTACCATAGCTTCACTACATATAAAAATTGTATAGCATAAATAAAAAATAATTTGTGAAATGTGAATGATTCAATCATTATTGAAATAATACTTAAAAGAAATGGTGAGTGTTGGCTTGTCTTATTCAAAAGAACTATGACATTTGCTCTGCCATACTATCTTAGAATGTCAGTAGCGTGAATAACTGGAAGTTAGATAGAAAGTATTTAAAAAAGCACTGATGCAGGACTTTAGGAGTAAATATCTTGTGAGTAAGCATATTCAGAATACTAAACAAAATTAATAATTTTTGTAGAGAAAATATAGAAAAATTGGATGCAGTTCATTGGGACAAAAAATTTGAAGAGTTCGTTGACGCCACCATGTTTACTCTACAAGAACTGAAAACTCTAGTCTTAACTTTCTAAACCTTTGAATTTCATAGATATTTTGTTTTCGTGAACTGATAATTACAACGTTTCCAGTTTTTTCCTACGTTCTGAAACTAAATTTAAATATATATATATATATATATATATATATTTTTTATATATATGCGTAAACGCTTTTGTACAATGAAATATACATAGCCCTTTAGTAAACAACTATTAACCCATTGTAAATAAATTACGTAAAAGATATTTAATACTTTCAATATTTCAATAGTGTGTATTTCAAAAATATCTAAAGTTTGTAAAAATAGATAAAAAAAATTCTTGATATTTTAAATATTGTAATAATAAATTTACTAATAAAATGCGAAAGGAATTGTTTTAAAATTATTTTCATACTTTAATGTCTAGACGTCAAATATACCCATTACACCCTAGAGGTTGAAATTATACCAGTAAAGCAGCTTGCTCTAAACAAACACACTCGAGTATTTGATTTAAAGGAGTTCAATATTTATGTTAACCTAGTTGTTAGCAGTCAAACAAAAAAGGATATCAGAATCCTTGAACTACAAAACAAATGTGCCTTAAGTAATGAAAACAATATTATTATTAATGTTGCTTTGTGTTCACAACAAAAAAAAAATATCATTCATTTCGTCAAAATAAAACATCACAGACGGATAAATAAGTTTATGAAGAAGAATAACTATGACACTAGATAATATATAGAATAATTTATAGAATTATAAAATATTACAATAATAAGAAGTTACTTAAGAAGTTTATGGACCTATATTAATGTTTGTAAATATTTAAAAGAAGAACTTCGAATCATTAAGTATATGGATTTCAATTATATATGTCGCATTGACTTAACAGAACGTAGAAGAAGATGATACAAATATCAACCAATTCTCTTATTAGCATCGTGCGTACTTGCCAGAGAGATTACCATTGTGGAAATCGATCCCATCGTTGTGAGAAAAATATGACTTAGCCTATTACTTTAAGCATTAGGCAGAAGATGACATCAAATGGTCTAGTAAGAATATCTTGAGCTCGTATTTAAAAAAAAAATCACACGACCAAGAACTATAGTTGCAATCTGAACATTGTACTGAAATTGTGTGAATTGCTTGTTTAAAACTATTAGGTTAAAAATTTTAATTACAATAAATAATACTACAAAAATAAAATGTTTATCTCAAAAAATTTTTGTTCTTTTTTCTGATACTACAATTAAATTCATCAAATTTTTAAATATGTTTATCTTGCTTTATTAAAACTGCAATATATTGAAACCAAAATTGTTTTTTGAGTGTTATATTTAAAACTATATATCAGACAATTATATTTTAAAAATCCATAAGTATGACAAAACATGATAATTACTCAGCCATTAATTATTATTTTTTTTCAAAACCAATTATAAAAATTGCGGCAATAAATTATGTTCCTCTGTGCTCTTTGAATGTAAATTTCAGTTTAAAGTGGTCTTTAGTAATAGAATATAGTCAATCTCTACGATTGTTACAAAAAAATCAAACTAAAATTTAAATTTAGCAAACAATGACATCATCACAATTTGTATTTAAATTTGTGTTAATATGTATCTTGTTTATAATCACAGTACAGGTATAATAAAGCGTTAACTGTTCTTAAATATACTTAACATATGTATACATACATATTTCATTCAAATAACTTATCTAAAGGCTCTACCGAAACTTGAGTTCACAAATCTTGTGTGTAAAACTCTTGATAAAGAATTTTGCGATTTCGAATATTGCTACTTAAAATCGGTTAATCGCTCATATAAGTACATGTCATTAAAAGTAAAACTCTTCAAAATACCAATAACAAGTGTTAAGGTAGGTTTTATATTAATATTTCGATTTATTGAGAATTATGTCCATTTATTCATTTGTCCATTTAGATGCGATATACTTTAATGAAGAAAGAAAATGGTTACAAGCCTTTTCTATATAATATAACATTGGATGGGTGCAAATTTCAAAAATCACGTAAACATCCTGTTACCAAATTTATTTACAGTTTGTTTGAAGAATATACTAATATGAATCACACCTGCCCATATAATGTAGGTGCTAAATAAATAGTATTTACAAGAAGTATTGAAAAAAAATTAATTTATACATTTTAGCACGATTTACTTGTAGAAAAACTGGATATAAATCATGTCACTAAAAAATTTCTAATGTTACCATTTCCGGTTGGTGAGTATGCACTGTATACGACTTGGTTTGCTTATGACATCCCACGAGCTGATGTGAATGTTTACTTGAAGATAGCTGACTAAAATATTTATTTATCAATATGAATATGAATTATGATATGTGAATATATCTATGAATTATGAAAATAAATTTATATTATAAATGAATGCAAATATTATATCAAACATGACCAAACTTGGCAGTGACGTTTACAAAAAGGACCCAATGCAGTATTATATGCAGTTAATAATTTTTCTCTTTCGTTTTGCAGTATTATTTATATTAATAATTTAAGATATTTAAAATGAATTTTAATTAGTTATTGCACATATCATAAGGCTCGCAGCCAAAGCATACTTCAGGAGAGAATAGCAGAAAACTAAATATTTCTTATAAAAGAGTTTGATATCACTTTCATATAAACTACTGATTTTTTCTTTGAAATTTAGAGTCTAACAAAGAGGAGACTATATGCCACTTTGGCAGTAGAAAAAGCTTTGCCTTTACTAAAACCAAGCAGTAGTAGTAAAAGTTTTTAATTAACAAAGATGTTCCCACTGATTACATTACTTAATTTTTTATACATAATTAATGCTACAAATAATACAGAAAATGATGCGATCTGTCAGCAGCCATGAGTCGTCACAATGACTTGGTACTAGCAGATATAACCAGAAGTCAAGTCGGCTCAAATGCTGCTAAAAATAAAAAACGTATGGCTAAAAATAGTGCGACAGTAAAGCAGGGGTACAACTTTTCGCCATTATCTGGTAAATTACAACTCGATCTCTTTTGCACACAGAGGTTTGCTGCTTTTAAATAAGGCAAATGTGACGATAGAGCATAAGGGCTCACAAGTTATATATGAAAAGCCAAAGCAATGATGATCAATTATCTTCAGTTTATCAAATCTGCATTATATTGTTATTATATCTTAAATAAGGTAGTGAAAAAGCTAGTGCACTACTACATATATATTTTCTTTCTGCGCTTCCATTTTGCAGATGATCGAAAACAATATTTCTATTCTAAGTTAAAACAAGTTTAGATATACTTAGTTAGCATAAGTTTTGATTTATTTGCTTTAGGTCGAAAATTTAGCTTTCTTCGCAATAAGCAAGAAGTTAATTTTTAAATAGTTATCATTCGTAATTGAAACTAGTATAGATTTTTACAGCTGTATTCAATCTATTTAATAATATTTCAAAAAAAGGTCCAGCTTGTACAAAACTTGGTCATAATATATCTGGTTTTAACATTAACACCTCAGATAAGAAATAGTTTTTATATAAAATATTTTTTGTTACGCTGAAGGTTCCATAATAAAATTTTACCTTTCATCTCAACTCAATCCACAACAGCACACATATTAATTTTCAAGCAAAAATTAAAATTTTAAGTCTTTTGAATTAATTAAAATGTTTCCTGCTGATGCACTTAAACCGAAAACGAAAACAAAATGTTCGGAAAATGACTTCTTTTGTCTTTAAGTCTCATTATCCTGCTTACAGAATAGGAAGAAAAAAGTATCAGAAGAAATCGTTACCAAGTCCTTCCTTTAAATACCAATTTTGATGACATTTTGTTTTAGCTTGCAGGTCAATAGCAAATAAAGACAATTGCAATTTCATACTTTGACACTTGCCAACAAAAGGAAAAGTTGAGTAAGGAATGAAAAACGAAGAGAAACATTAAAAATAAGAACAAAAGTTGAGCACCACAAAAGAGATAATATCTCGGTAAGCTATTTGAACTGCACCGCAAATAATCACATTCACAGATATGTGCTGCAAAGGACCAGCATAAGCCTGGAAAAGGCACATACAAATACTGTAGAGCAAATAGGAAGGATTCTGTAACGAAGGCTACCAAGAATGGTGCAAGCAACAACAAAATACTCGACAAAAAAAATAAACTTAAATAGGTGTTTGTGAATGTAATTGTTATAAGTGTTAAAACAGGGAGAGAATGGATGAAAAGAAAACCATAATAACTTCTAAAAAATCAAACAAAAAAATATTTAACATAGGAAAAACATAGGACATAGGAAAACTGTGCTCAAAAGTAGGAACTTTAAAATTCGTAGAAAATTTAAGGAATACGAGGAGTAAATATTCGCCAAAAAGAACTGAACGAGTGAAACACGTTTGTAACACTTACGTTGCTTAGGTTTCGTTAAGGTTTGCGGCATTCACCTGCAGCACTTCCTCTCTAGGTATTTGCTGGGCACTAATATTGGGCGTGCATACATATGAACTTAGCACCTCAACGGAGGACGAGCATATTTTGTGCTTGCCATTTGAACTTTTGAATTTAGTCGCCATCAGGTGTGCACACTGAGGTTAGCAATTATTTTTCGTAGTTACTGCATTAGAGATGTGCTGCATATTTTTTGTTCTATTGCTAGTATGTCTGGCATTTCTATTATTTTACACTTTCAGAACGTTTTGGTAAATGTCATATGGAAAAGTTCAAAAAGTTCAACATCTGCAGTGCACGGTCGCAATCATGTCGACTGCTAAATTAACACCAGTGACACACAATCCCTCTGCACAGTTGCAAATTCATATTGCTATATGAAAATCTATATGTCTATGTGTCACCTTTTGCAATTGTAAAAGATTTGTACGTTATGGATCACATAGTCACGCAGCTGCTATTAGTGCTATACTGGCAGCGGCAGTCATTATAACTGCTAACTTCATTTCGTTGTCGAGCAATTTGCAGAGCACGCTATGTCCGTAAGGCTTTTCAGTTACATTTGCTAAATTCTACACTTTTGCACGAATATTCGTCAATAATATTGAGTCTGCTAATTGGTAGTCAATATTACACCTTCGCATTTTGCAGTGCTTCATTTGTCATTTGTTTGTAATGATAATCGAACACTTAATTTTTGCTATGACAATTCAGGTATTGCATGCTTTTAGGCGTCTCTGACAAATATTTGAGTGCCCAAAAGATTTGATTTTAGTTTGAAATGAACATGTCACTTGAAGTGGTATAAGAACATCTTCATGAAATTAGAATTTTAAAATACTATTAGGAATTCAATAGTATATATTACAAGTATGTATTAATGACAGTTAAAAACTCTTTTGCATTATATCTTTGAAAATAATAGCGTTGTCTTCAAAGGAAACATACTAACGTAATAAATGAATAATATTAATTCTTTAAATAAAAAATATGTTAAAATATATTTGATATTAAATGAAATTATTCACAATAATATGAATAGAGAATCAGTTGAGACGATTTTAAAGCAGTGTACAAAAATAGATAGGCCAGGAGCTACGACAGGAGCGTTTATCAAAAAGTTAACGAAACGAATTAATTTAGTGACACTAATACAAAGGCTTGCTAATGAATAGATTATTTAGCTACTGCCTGACCAAAATTGTTTTCAACGACACAGAGCATCTTTATGTCTACGCAGTCTAGTAACTCTATTGATTCTACACAAATAATAGAAGCTATTGGCAATGGTGATAATTGTTATCTTCTCAGACGTTGCCATGCACTTCCTATAATTCTTTCTTAATATTCACTGTTGACAATTCTAATAGTGACTGTAATGGCTTATGACTCCAACTCATATTTCATTTTATAAAAAAATTCTGTGCCAATATTTTACACTAAATTAATTGCTATTAAAAGTAATTGACACTAAATGCTTTTTAAAAGCATTGATATATATCCGTTCCTATTAATTGAACCAAAACAAATCAATGATGTCATTTCTGTCGCGCTTTTGAGAACAAATTGAATTGAGGTTTTTCATTGTTTATCTAAAAACATATAGATAAAATCTGAATGTAGCGCGCTTAAATGATTAAGTCTGTCTGCCAAAATTTATCAATTTTAATTGAGATCAATTTTAAGTATTAATAAAAATACTACAATAACTACTGATTTGGGTGTGATTTTTGTATATTTTGTCAAAACGCTTTCAGATATATGAACGTATAGGAATTTGAAAGTTAACTAAAAACCTTATATATAAAGCTCTTGGTGTTAATACAGTAATGATAGAAAATCAATACGAAAGTTTTCTGTAAGCCAATTATCGAAGAAAATCAATGGTTTTTATAATTATGATCAATTTTTCAACTATTCGTGACATTACGGTACAGAATAAGGATTTATTTGTCTACTTTTACCTATAGTTCTTCACACTGTAAATAGAAGAAGCATCTTTTTTATGATTGGTGATACTCCATTATTTTTAGTCGGAAGTGATATATATACATACACTTAAAAAGAGACTACGGCTAAAAGATATAAAACGATGAAAGAACTTTAGTGGCAGTATATGCAAAACTACTCCTATTTTCTCGGCACGCCGATTGCAATGTAGGTCTAATTCGCGAGAAGTATTTTAAGCGACAGTTTTCATAATATATATATATATGCTTTAAGTCAAAATAGCGAAGTTTGGGAGATATCAGGCCTTAAGGTCGTAAACTTTCAATGGAAAACTACGCCAGATGGCTCATGGCGGATTGCTGCTACTTGACGTTTGTGCTATTAATGTAAAAATTATGTATTACAAAATAATAGTTTATTACTTTGATTAAATAAACATGATTTATATATTATGATGTAAAGAGAGAATATAAAACGAAACACAATTTTCATGTAATCATCGCTTTCTTTTAGAATCTAAACAGTCTTTATCTAGGTACTCCATTCTGAGATTAAAGTAATCACAGAATATTAGCTTCGGGCGTACAAAAGTAAATTCGATCACACTCAGAAATATATGCTCTAACCATATACCAATTAAATTAAACTGAGCTATTAAGTTAGTGAAATTTAAGCTCATGTGGTGAGACGAAATAAAAACCAATATATGGTATTTATATATGGTATATGGTAACAATATTTTGGCCTGAGTTCTTGCTAAAATCTGGTTAAGTCAACCATAATCTGGTTGTTCTGAGTACACAAATTCCAACTGTGTATCGTTGTTCAATAAGAACTGAAAAATTTTGATATCCATTATGTCACTTATGTCGAAAGTAATCAATTTAGTTCTGACACAAATATCAAAAATTAATACGTTCATCATACTCCATACACATTTAAGTGAAAAATTGAAATCTTTGAAATGGAATACCAAGAAACTATAAACAAAAATGCCTGCATTTCAGAAACAAAATAATTCATAAGTTTACTCTAATAATATGAGTAGTTTTCCATACGTTTAAATATGTGTCATATCAAGTACAATTTCTGCATGAAGTGAAGTCAGCTGTCATTTTCTTGATATATTCACATCGACCTATAAGACTTAAAATGACACATTAAATCTATTACATATCAAACCTTAGCAAGGGTGAGTACGGAGCATAAGTGTTAGAGAGAAGGTTCGAAAATTCTACATAAATTGAAGGTCAACAAAAATATTCCATGAATTTTGTACCAAAAATTTACGTCCGTCCATCCTTTGTTTATTGATGGCGCAATACTTCATTTGTTATGCCAAAATTTCTTTCATTTATTTCTTACAAATTGTTTACTTTGGTATGTTTGCTTATGATAATGTCTTCCGAAAAGTATATGTATCTGTGAGGTTGTTTGTGGTAGAAGCACGAGTACAAGTATTTCTGGCAGTGCTGCAATGCGACTCCAGCTATGAGTTCAAGTCCATTTTTGGTGTTGTTGGTTCTAGCTGTTGCTGTTGATGGTATTGGATGTTGCTGTAGCTTATTTTAGCGTCTTGTTGACGTTGTTGTCATACAAATGTTTGGCACGTAAAAATGTT